TAAGACTCTTTTAGCCTTCAGCCGACATATGTGTAGATCTATATTTCTGCTATCATTAAATCGTCTTTTATCTTGAAGACTATCTCAATACAATTCTCATTTCTCATTTTAGCGAAGATAAAACATAATTATTTATTATTCTTTGTCAACTCCGACGTGTTCAGCCAAGCTATTGGGGCTGCCTGCAGAAACATGAGGATTATGTGGATATTGATGGGGCCGTCAGTGTGGGCCAGGATCCTTCCATGTTTGAGAAAGAACCTAACGATCCTGCGGGAATCCAAATCAGGAATTTGCGAAAGGTATGGTTTGTGTCTCATCAAGTCACAGAATGATTGAATATGACAGAGGGTGCTGTCAGTTAATCTACAATACTCACTGGTTGTTTAGAAATATCACACAGACATAATGTGACTTGTACATTTGATAACAAGACTCTACCTTATTCATAATTTGTAAGAAGGAGATGGGTAAATGTTAGTTGAAGGTCAAGATGAGGCTGAAGTCACTTGGCTTGATTCTTAGAAGTTAAAGGGAGAAAATGAGAGCCTAACAGATTTTTTAAAAAAGTTTATAATGGTCTTAGAGCACCACAACTTGTTTTGCTTTTTACAGTACTTGACTTGGGTGTGATATTTTTGATTTTATTGAATGACTTTCAAGTACTGTAGCATCAGTGGTCGTATCGGACTCGTAAATGTGAGGTTGCGGCCTCTGAGGTTTGTGCTGCGGGCTTGACTTTGTGTTCTTGGGAAAGGCACTTTACACAAATTTTGTTCACTTCACCTAGGTGGGAATGGGTATCCAGCCATAGACAGCGAAAGATCTTGTCAGTATCTTTGTATTCAATTACCTATAAATGGCAGCTTGCACTGTATGCCTTCTAGGAAATTGAGCTGGTTTCAGAATGCAACCAGGCCTTCTGGGGTAATATTAGAGATTGTGTAGAGCGCTTAGAGCTTGCTGTTGAGCGGGAAATTGCACTATACAAATACTATCTATTATTATTACTTAATGATACAGTAGGTTTAGTTCATTTGCTATTTTCCCTGTTTTGTCAGTAATGGACCTGTAGAGCTCATACAATTGTGTCGTTTCCAAAGATAGCAACGTACGTGAGTACTGTCACGTTTTCTGATGCAATTTCTTTTTATGTGCTGCAAGACGTAGTTATGCTGGCATGTCGAGGAAATTCAGAAATAACAGCAATCGAAGGAGGGAGATGAAATGTATTGTGTATTGAAAAATTTGTAGAAAATATTTTACCTTTTCAGACTGAAAGGAAGACCACTGAGAAATAATAGTCTTGCTCTGGCCTTAATCTTTTTTGTATAATCTGTATAGTACTGCGACCAATTGCAACCCCCACAGCCACCTGAGATGTTGTGCTCTCGATGAAGCGGTACGAAATAAGAAGCTGGGATTGACTTATGCCTTTTCCATTATTCATTTTTATATTCCTTTGAACCATCTGACCATGTGTTGATAAATCATGACTCTGAGATCAGGAAACTTTGTTTATATGTAGGAAACATGGAATGTCAATTTGAACTAATGTGATTTCCCATTCTCATCTTTCTGTCAGGTGTATGGGAAAGGTACGTCAAAGAAGGTTGCTGTGGCTGGTATGACCTTGAACATGTATGAAGGACAGATCACGGCTTTGTTGGGCCACAACGGTGCTGGGAAAACAACAACCATGTCAATGCTCACAGGTAAAATTTAGTTACTGTGATTCAGGGATTGAATTTTCTTCTTTATAAGTTTCTATGTCTGAATAACTTTTAAGCTCTCAAAGAATAGACACTATTGAGCTGGAGTGTGTGAGCGGGAAGTCTTTAAGAAGAACATTAATTGTTTTCTTGTTAAAAAGATGGTTTACCAGGTGACAGTATTCTAATCTTGAAAAGTCGAGTCTTGTCATGTTTTTAAAAAAAATCTTTCTGAAGTTTTTGAGACAGCAAATTCATAGATAAAATATCCAGATTGGTATAACTATATTTCCTTCAATAATACATGAATTTGCTCTTAAAGGATGTAAGGGCAAAATATTTCAGCAGTTTTGAGGATTTTTTCCCTTTCTATACCGACTGTACCGGGACACTGCTCTAGCCATGGGATATTTTCTGGTCCTTTAATGGCAGAGTCACCAAACATTTTTTCAAAGTGGGGCGGATAACTGAAAGAATGCCAAGCGCAGGCAGGATACCTTGCACCATACAATACACGGATGTGTTGAATGACTGATTTATTACATTAAAACTGAGAAAGAGTGTGATACATTAGCTAGAAGTTAGGAAAGTCTGTACAAGAGTGTTTAATTTGCACTGTATAGTTCAATTAAAGCATTAGATTATTTTGGTGACCTAAGCACATTTCAAAAGCATCTTCCAAGGTTTTTCCCCCACATGGTGGCATGGCTGTTCACCAGACAAACTGACCTCATTTGGCAGATCCAGTTGTAGTTTGGTAACTCCCTGTTTTCATGGAACCCCAGCTTCAAGTTTGATCTCAGTACCTTTCATAATTAGTAACTCCCTTAAAAAATATTTGAATATGCCATATGATGAAATTTAGGAAGTTTTATGAATGCCACCTTCACTTACAAGTTTTCAAAATGTAAGAGCTGTTTGCCAGTTCCCTAAAGGAAATTATCAATCACTTTCTATCTATTTTTGAGAGTAAACTGTTTTTATGTTTTACTTTTTAAGTGAAGGTAATCATTATTAGAAGATATAAAATATTGATAGCGTCTTGCAGATTTTTCATTCTTTTATATATTAATTATATAATCTCTTACTGTGACGTATAATTTTGGCATGTTGTGGATGTTTGGTGAACACTGGTGTGTTCTGCTACTTTTCAGTGAGAGTTCATTATTTTAACCTGTAGCAAAATTTGGCCGTTATTGTGCTGACCATTATAAACTTAGAACTCAGATTTTGACCAAAGCCAATTCAAATTTCTATTTGTCTTACTATTTTTTAAATTCTTTGCCAGGGTTTTACCCGCCATCCAGCGGTACAGCCATCATTAGTGGATACGATATTCGACATAGTATCAGCGAAGTTCGGAGCAGTCTTGGACTGTGTCCTCAGCATGACATTTTGTTTGACAACCTTACAGTGGAAGAACATGTGATCTTCTTTGGTTTGGTGAGACCATTTTCATAAGTCTGTGGTTACTTCATAATTCTATGTGGTTAAATGTTAACTCTTTGTTTGTGGAGTTGTTCTGTGATGGGAACAGCCCATTGCCTGTGATTAGATTTTTAGCCTGTCAGTGTTACTGTGTGAATGGTTGGTGGGAGCTCTGGTGTGGTTTGCTTATAACACTTTTTTTTTTGGAGTGTTAATATTGTCATAATCTGCTTTAAGTAAAATGTGAGTTCTGTGATATCAATTTGTCAAAGACTGCATCCCAATGTCTCCTGTCACCATTGCTGATGTCATTTTTACATGCAGCATTTGAACTTTTCTTTCCTAGTCCCACCTCTATAAGACGGCCACCTGTACAAACGGCCACTTTCCATTTCCCCCCTTACGATTTTTCTATATAATTTAACTGTGTATAACGGGCACCTGTCCAACGCGGCCACGGCCACCATATTTTAACACACAACCCCTATCACACTAAGCAATAATACCTGTCTTAGACAGCCACCTTAGTTAACCGATCATGTTTCGTAGGCCCCTCCCACTGTTGACCAATAGCTACCAATTTTCAGCTGCTGGGGAGGTAAGCGTGTGATCCCTCAAAATCCATAAGCCCCTCCCAGAACTCATACACAAATCGTAAGTGAGATGAGTGGTCACTGTTTACCCAGTCTGTAACAAAGTAACAAAGGACGTCAACATGAACTTGTGACAGAAACGTCGCTCGTTCTTCGAGTGGTTGCGACCCATGTGTTTGTTTTAACATGGCACTCGGTCTTCATCGTCTGATACATTTCGTTTTATTGTCACCCTTGTGCAAAATCAGCAACAAAATAAAAATTACAAACATAATACAAACCACCTCCACCAACAACAAAAACAGCAACAATGCGGCTACTTTCGATTGGGACTTCAGATGGGAATGGTTCATTTTCTTCATCTTGAGCAGTCCTGCCTAAGACGACCACCTGTCTTATACGTCCACTTTTCTCCTTGACAGTGGGTGGCTGTCTTACACAGGTTTGACTGTAATTGCTTTTGCACTCACAACCAGGTTCAGGTTGAAAATGTAGTGAAATATATAGCAGGGATCAGACAGATTGGGGAAGCGATGGATTAATAAACCTTTGTCAGATGATGATACAAACTTTGTTGTGGCTGTCTCCTCCAGCTGAAAGGAGTGCCAAAGGCAGAGGTGATCCCACAGTGTGAAGAGATGCTGAAGGATATGGAACTGTTCCCAAAGCTCAAGGCTCGGGCTAAGACACTTTCAGGAGGCATGAAACGCAAGCTGTCCGTCTGCATCGCTCTCATTGGCAATTCTAAGGTACAAAAAGTACACACTAAATGGGACATGATAAGCAGTGTTTCTCTTTTACGTGTTCATGTTCCTGTGGGCCACTGGGGGGTAAATAATTTTCTTCTCTTTTTGGCATTTGATAAATGAAACCTTTCGTGCCAATGTTGAACTTTAGAAACATAAGGTTTCACATACAGTAGTAAAATTTGTAAATGGAAGTGGGGGTAGAACTTACGGCTTCTTTACCCTGATGTAGGCAATTCATCAGCTGAAAGTTAGTGCTCAGTGCAATGATATGTGTGCTAAAAATAGAATAGACAGTGGAAATATTTGTTAAAAGTTAAACGAAGTCAAAATGCTGCGTACTGAAGTACTTGCTCATAATGTATTAAAATTCATGTCTTGACGTTGAAAATCAATGAGTCCTTTTGTTCCTCATCACATAGAAGTTATTTGAGCTTTGTGATGTACTGACTATGATTTGTCTTGTGAAATTTATACATGTGGAAAAATGTGTTCACAGTTATTGAAAAAGAGATTATTAATTGTTTTTCCCCTTCATCTTTGATTTTTTCGAGGCATAAAAGTGAGTAATCTGTTTTACAGCTCGGTGTGTTGTCACTCATATTTTTTGTACTGTTTTTTTTTATATTTTAAAAAGCTTTTTGTGCATTTTTGTTGATTGTTTTTTTCAAATGTAAATGTACATCACAAACTAACCTGTTTTCCAATGTCCATGCAGGTGGTTTTTCTGGATGAGCCTTCTTCGGGGCTGGACCCAAATGCTCGCCGCAACATCTGGACTGTTTTACAGAAGAACCGAGCTGGACGCACAATGGTGCTGAGTACTCACTTCATGGAAGAGGCCGACCTTTTAGGAGACCGCATCGCCATCATGTCCAATGGAGTTGTCAAGTGCTGTGGAAGCTCTCTGTTTCTGAAGAAAAAATATGGTGAGTTTCAATCCTTTCTGTTCTTTTTGCTTTTACTTGTTGTATAGAGCACAATACATGCTGATTATAGCTTTGAACTTACTGTTCTAGCCACTTTGGCTGACCAGTCGGTGTATCGAATCCAGGCTTAAAGATCTAGCTGCGATAGATTTTTACCTGTTTATCACGTTACCCTGGTTACATATGTTATGTTTAACAGTGTTAATAAGTGGTTGTTTTGCTCATCACTGCCCCCACCCCAACTATTATTTTACAAATGGATTCCTCCTAATAATTTCTTTTCAGTGAAGTTTGTTGGAACAGATTTGATCAGTTTTCTTGTATTGTGACAGGTGCTGGCTATCACATGGTTGTGGTCAAAGAGTCCAGCTGTGATGTGAGCAAGGTGATATCAGTGGTCAAGTCCCACGTGGAGCCAGCGGAGGTGGAGAGTAATGTGGGTGCTGAGCTGAGCTTTGTCCTGCCGCAGGACTACGTGGGTCGTTTTGAGGGGCTGTTCCAGGAACTGGAGAACCGACAGAGAGAGCTGGGCATCAGCAGTTTTGGTGCTTCTGTGACTACCATGGAGGAGGTCTTTCTCAAGTAAGTTGTGGAGCCAAGTCAGGGTGGTCCAAAAAAACACTTTACAACTTTTTTTCCCAAATATCTCCCACAAAAATTCTTTTTGAATGCTGCAATTTGGAACAGACATAATTTGTTCAAAGGAATTTGTTTGACATAAAATTCATGAATAAAAAACATATTTTGAAAACGGAAATGACTTAAAGAAAAAGCACCCATAAACGCAAAGTTCACTAATTTTTAAAAAATCTAAAAAAGAAAGTCGTGAGACGATTGGTTGGATTTTTAAAACTTTAATTTCTCTTTGACATTTAATTTTCCTTCCCTGTAACATTTAAACAATATTTCATTTCTTTTACAGAGTTTTTAAAAAAAAATTATTTTATTCTGGAATTCCTGGAAGCAGTGTTCTACATCCCTTCCTTTGGACTAGACACATTTTTAACGCTTCGTTGGAAATGTTCAATGAGGAATGGCAGTCAGATGCAAGGATCGCTAAACCCTGAGTGCTCAAAATGAAAGCCACATACCCTGTACCAGTATGGAGTGGCTTCTAAAGACAATAGGAAGTGGGGTGCCCAATAGGCAGCATTTTTTAAAGTTAAAACGGTGAAAATGGGCTTTGCACTTAAACAAATGTCATCAAGGAAGTTCACACTTTTCAAGACGACTGAGGAATCATGAACACATTGCCATGCTTTTATCCATGTCATCTCAGCCTAATGAAAATGAAAATGATACAGTTGTAGGATAAGATCTGCCTTGATTATGCAGATCGTTGAGGTGTAGGAAAGTCCTAGCTGCAGACATCACTTAAAGGGCTTCAAATGGTGCGTGTTCGACCTGGAGTGGTCATTTTGCCTAGTTTGGATTCACTATAGGTCCAAACTGACGTAAATTTTCTACTCATGATACCAAAGGTTATATAGTATTAGGGCACTTTAGCATTCTTTCCATACCGTGTGCAGAACTTACGAAATGTCAGGGATGGTGAGTTGGTGGAGAGGTAATGTTCAACACAAAAAGCTCTCCGCTCTTTACTAAATTTAACCATGATCTCAGCAGGGAAAGGAAATTTGAGAAAAACAATATATGCAAACTTTTGTTGACTTGTTAAACTGCAGTAGCATGCAATACGGCATGACCCCGCAACTTTTAGTGGAAGGTCTAATGAGAACTGGTACGTCATGATTCAAAAAGGGTTGTTTTTTTAATATGCCATTTAGAGCAAAACCATTCTGTGGAATTATATGAAATGAATATCAGACAAATTCCTTTTGGCTTCTAAATATTATGTTCAATTTTGAAATGCAAAACTTTAGCACAGAGGAAAGTACAAATCAAGTTGTAAAGTGTTTTTTTTTATCACCATGCACTTTGACAAAATTGGAGTGCTCCTTTTTAGTTTGCCCGTTTAAGAATCCTTTTTCTTGAATTCCTCTTTCATCAGACGTACGAAACATTTTCTAAATGATGTGGAAATACATTGCTTTATTTTTAGAATATGTGTCCGACTTAATGTAAGTGACATGAAGATAGAGAGAGAGAGAGACAGAGAGAGACAGAGAGAGAGAGAGAGATTATGAGAATCAGGATAGATGCCCATGTTTATAGGTGTAGGGTGTGCATCTGTATAGTTATTGATGTTCAAGTGCTTACTGATACCTTTTTGACTTAGTACCTCATGTATTAAGTTAGGGTGCACCCGCAATCAGTGGTTGGTTTTGTTATTTTCTAGCATGTTTTTCCTAATTGTCTTACATTATTATTGTACAAACTGCCTCATCTTCACCTTCACCTATCTTTTTGACTGGTTTATTATTAGGGCTCCACTGTAGATCCCTGTAGGATAATCTGCAATTCTACATAAAAGAATGAAATATTGACCCTTGTGTTTTCTTGATCTGTAATTTTCTGAATATGACAACGTATCAAGTTTTTTCCCCCCCAGAAAAGATTGGTAAACTTCAGTTTTTCTTACATTTAATTTCAATACCCTCTTCTCTTGCTGTGTCGTCCTCAAAGGGTTGGGGAGTCAGACGATGAAGAAGTCAAGGAAAGACTCCACACTGGAATCAATAAGACCGTCATCAATCGTCCAGCATCGAGTTCTAGTGGGGACAGCGGCTTGGACAGCCAGCCTTTGCTGAGGACCAGTGGTGACGGCTATGGCAGCATGAGCAATGGTAACTCTGTGCCCCCTGTGGCAGTGACTCAACCTTCAAATAGGAACGGAGCAGCACCGATTTTCTTTGACCTGAGAGATGAGGATGTCAACTGGTCTCCGCAGATTTTGAGTAAGTACAGTTGAACCTACTCTAACGTCCAACTGTATAAGACGATCACCTGTACCAATGGCCCTTCCACCCCGAAAAAAAATGAACAAACAAAAAATTAATAAATTGTAATTACACTGTAAGATGGCAATTTTTCACCTGGACAATGGGTGGCTGTCTTACACTATTTCGACTGTATGTGAAATGATTTCATGTAGATATACATCTCCGACTTGGTGCATTAGTCAACAAATTTGACTTTGTGTTTTACTTGCTATCTCCGTTGAAATTTGAATTCTGAAGCTATTCATATTTACTTGTAATGTGTATACCTCTTTGTGGTGAGGCTTGACTACGGCTGTCAAGTCTATGGATCGGCAAAACCACACATCCTGAAAATGCTAGACCCAGTACAAGACCAAGGACTCCGCCTCGCTCTGGGGGCTTTCCGCACTTCCCCGGTAGAGAGCCTCCAGGCCGAGGCAAACATACCATCACTCTCTCTCAAACGCACACAACTTTCACTACAATACACAATTAAACAGAGCTCAACACCAGAAAATCCAGTGCACAACTGCATTTTTAAAATAAACCCAGAAACCATAAACGAAATCCAAAACAACGAAAAACTCTTTGACACCCTTCGGCCTCAGAATCCTTGAGGACCTCAAAAACTTACACTTTTCCAAACAAGACATCCAACAATTTTTGTTCCCCGAACTCCCTCTGTGGCACCTCACCAAGGCAAAAGTAGACTTATAGCTGACCACACACAACAAAGAAAGCACAAACACCATAACTTTTAAAGCAGAATACAAAAAACTAATAGATAAATACCTGGGTGCGGAGCTTATCTTCGCTGATGGCTCCAAAAAAAGACAATAATGTGGGCGCCGCAGCCCTATCTTCCAACAGTACACACCAGAGGAGACTCCATCCTGAAGCTTCCATTTTCTCTGCGGAGGCCACTGCCATTGACATGGCACTGGACTCGGTAGAAAATTCTCCTAACAGATCTTTCTTTATCCTTTCTGACTCTCTGTCTTGCATCACCTCACTCACAAACTACACACCCCTACACCCAAAAATAGTTAGGCTACCACAGAAAATTCACACCCTATCTGAAACAGGAAAAAATATGTTCGCATGGATACCTAGCCATGTGGGCATCCGAAGAAACGAGCAGGTAGATGACCTGGCGAAGAAATCCTTATCCCTTCTGTTGGGATCAACGACGGACACTCTCCCACAGACTGACTTCAAAAATAAAGTCAAAAAGTACACATCCAGTCTGTGGGAGAGCCACTGGAAAAAACAGAAAAATAACAAACTCTATAATATAAAACCCAAACTGGGACCACGGAATCCTTCGGACCTCTCTAGAAGAGACAAAGTCATTTTTACTCGATTTCGCATTGGACACACGGCCCTGACACACTAGTACCTCCTACAGGGAGATGAGAAGCCGTTCTGTGTCGGATGCGACACGAATTTTACCATTAGACTCATTTTAACCTAATGTCTAGACTTTGGAGAGATCCGAAGGAAATACTTAAAATGCAAAAAATTGCAAGACTTTTTTACGTCGTTGATCCCAACAGAATTTTTGATTTTATGTAGGCCTTTGGCCTTTATGGAAAATTGCAGTATAGAACAAAATTATATTATTAAAAATTTTTATGAAAGTTGTTTTAGTCTGAATTTATATTTACACCAAATTTTTTTTTTTTTAACGTTTTAAGAACAAATGACCCAAGCCCAGCCGTGCAGTGAACTGCAAATGAAGAAATAACTTGTGTTTCGCGCGCTCATATAACCTTATGCAGTTGCGAGCGCCGTAAAATCCCACACTAAACTAAACTAACTCTTTGTGGCGATAACCTTGAGACTTTCTCTCTATCCTTCATTCCGTCTCACTTCATCATACCAACAATAGAATGGAAAAAAGGGTGGAATACATTTTCTTTTTCTTCAGGCATGAGGAAATGTTTTGACGCAGCAATGCTTTTTTTTCAGATTTGTCGAAACGTCTGTCCAAGAACCATCGTGTCTCTCTTTTCGCGCAGCAGTTTTGGGCCATGCTCTTAAAGCGGGTGCTGCACACGCTGCGCAACAAACTAATCACAGTGACCCAGCTGGTGGTGCCGCTTTTCTTCACAGTCATGGGAATCATCGTGCTCAAGACCATGCCATCATTCATCGACATGCCTCCTCTACCACTCACCGCTGATCAGTATGGTTCGAACTTTGTACCGTACTCGTCAGTGAAAGATTGGTCAAAGCTTGCTCAAGTCTATGGCTCCCTGTTCCGTAACCAGCCTGACACCCACCCTATAAATGTTGATGACACTCCTGGATATAAGGACGATCCAAGCGTTGTTAAATTTTTGATTGACCAAGGTGAGGCAAACGTGGCAGCATATAATCTGCGTTATCAGGTTGCTGCAGAGTTTAACAAGAGTGCTCAAAAACGCTCGGTTGTAACAGCCTACTACAACAACCAGGGCTTTCATAGTATTGCCATTTCATTTGCTGCTATGTATGATGGACTTATCAAATACTACACCAACAGCTCTGAATATGAAATTCTTACGACAAATGACCCGCTCCCAAGACTTTCATCCGATAAGGTATGTCAATATTGGAGTATCAAGCTATGTACTTTAGTGTGGGATGTGATAAAGGTGTTGTTACTGTTGTTGTAGCATTGTTATTGTTGCTGGTGTTATGGTATTGGTATCGTCAGTTTTTTACAAAGGGGCACATAATACAAATTACAGACTTATTTTGTTGGCAAGCTGTTCTATTTGTCCGCCCTAAAAACAAAATTTTTAGAGGGAGAAAAAACTGCTGCTTTCTTTTAACAATTGTTCCAACATTAAGTATCTTTTCTTCTTTTTTTCCCACACTAAGAGTACTAAGACTTCAAATTTCAACAAAATATTTTTCAAGCTCATGGGACTGATATCACTGACTGAGACACTGCAAATAAATCTGGCTAACAATTTGCATTTTAGAAACTGTCTGATCACTGCATTTACAGACTCATTTATTTCTTGAGTAATTTGAATAAATCTTTTTTTTTTTTTTATCCCCAATGTACTTCTTCTCAACCCCACCAAAAAATGATGAAGGATACTACTTTTTTCTGAACAGGCTCGAGACCAAAAAAGCTTGAGGGACCCTTCAGCTTTCATGTTTGGCTTCAACGTAGGCTTTGGCATGGCCTTCTTAGCTAGTAGCTTCGTCCTTTTCCTGGTGAAGGAGCGAGCTACCAAAGCCAAACATATCCAGTTCGTGTCTGGTGTCTACCCAGCCAACTTCTGGCTGTCTACAGTGTGCTGGGATCTAGTTAACTACATCATTCCTTGCATTGTGATTGTCATCTGTTTCTTCATTTTCTCCATTGAGCCTTACACAGAAGACTTGCACTGGCTGGATATCCTCTTGATGTTTTTCCTGTATGGATGGTCCATGCTGCCATACATGTATTTATTCTCGTTTGCCTTTACTGTGCCATCGACTGCATATGTGTGGATCACCATGTTCAACATTCTTACAGGTAAGGGCCAGCTGTGCTAGGTATTTTGAATTTTTTATTTAGAAAAAGTTCCCTGCCTTTTGAAAACATAAAGGGAATTATTTTGTGGTCCTAGCCGTGCAAACTGTTTTCTTAGTAGATTTTCCAGAAGTGTTGCCGCATCCCTATTGTTAAGAATTCCTTATCATACTGTTTGAGAAAGGCAAACACAGTTGCTTAGACTGTGTGAGCAGCCAGAAGGGTGCTGTATGAATAGATTTGACTCGATGCCTGCTTGCTATGTTGGGAAACTGGCACATCATGCTAGCAATTGGGCCCGCTGTTAGCTCCGTTGATATCATGCTGGACTACAGATTGGATAGCCCTGGTTGAAATCCCCTTCAGATGCTTTTTAAATTTGGGTTGTTTTGGGTGTTTTTAAGTCTCTCCACCCATTTAAATCAGTGCTATCAGAGATGGATGTTAAATTCCATGGCCCAGCCTCTTGAATAACCTTACAGTGTCGAAAGGTTTTTAAACTAACCACAGGGATAACCGCAGGGGTATATTCTCTTAGCTGCAATTACGGTTGGTTGACAGGTGCCCTATAGTCCAGATCTCTCCTTCTTCTTGTTTGTGTTTGTCACTCTTGTAACATCACTAATCTTCAACACTTATATGACGTAATTGTTTTGCGAGTGCTGTAAAACTCTAACTAAAATCTTAGCTGCAATTCAGAATTACCTTTCATTTAATTTTTTAAAAATGACTTGAACCGTACTAACGAAACTTAAAACAGTGAGCTTTATGGAGAGGATATTGTCATGAAATCAGTGTTCCTTAGTTCTAAACTGAAGACATTTCTTGGGTTATACATGCTTATTGGTATTTTCCTAGGTTAAGTTTTATGATCCTGGTATCTGCTCAATAAAATTTACCTATTTTTACTCGTGCAAGACATAATAGCACTTTTAAAAATGTAACATACTTTGGTAATTTCTGAAGCCAATGGCAATTTTATCAAACTTCATTTAAAACAAACATATTCTTAATGTCAGCCTAGCTGAAATAGGTGTATCTTCAATGTATTAATAAGAAAAATTGAGTGCGAGAAACAATTATGATTGGTTATTTGAAAGATGGATAGAAACTTCTCCTGCTATTCATTATTGTTTATTGTGACTCATCAATTCTGGCCCCATGACCCTTGACCCGATGACATCTCTCAACAGGTGTGACGACCATGCTAGTGGTGGTCATCCTGAGCATCCCACAAATAGGGCTGGAGGACGTGAGCGTGATTCTTGAGTGGACCTTCATGGTGCTTTTCCCAAACTTTTCCCTGGCCCAGAGCCTCTATGAGTTCTACGAGAACCACCAGGCTCTCGCCATCTGCACCCCGGAGTACAGCAGCGCTGAATTTTGCAAGTTCTCTCAGTTCATGAACATCTCCAATCCCTGTTGTCCTGGTGAGGAAAGAAAAAACCCCCAAAACCGTTATACTGATTAATGTTAGTCAAGAGCAGGGAATATTTACTCTGTATGTTTGCATGTGTGTATATGTGTGTTTGTCTGAAAGGTGGCATTTTAGAACAGAAGGAACAAGAATTGGCTGCGAACAGTATTGTGGTCATGAAGGCAAAAGGGCACTATCCCGTAAATTACTGTAAAGTACTGAGGAGTGACAAACAGACATATCTTTTTTTTAATGGTATATTATTTTTTGATAACCTCAGACCTCATTGCCAAATTTAGATAATGTAGAAGATGGTTGGTTTGACCTTACAGTCAGAGCCAACCCTAGCGGTTATGAATACAGGCTCTTTTTGTGTCTTTGAACTTGAACATGTGATACCTTATAATATAAGTCAACAAAGTAAACTAAATTCGAAGCATTCAAAGAGACTTATCTACATTGGAGTCCACCTAAAGTGAACACGCTTTACTTGAACAATCTGTAAAAGTGAATGATATTCTGTGGTCCCAATTGAAACGCTATTTGTTTAAGTCAGTGGTTTTCAAACTTTTTTCGCCCACCGCCCCCTTTTTCATCCGGCAGAGTCCGAGCGCCCCCTACTCCGCCCCAACCATCAATACGACATAGGGACATGCATAATATAATAACAATCACAATTAAAGAGAGAGCTCAAAAAGTAGGGTACAAAATAAGGTGCCTAAATTCTTATGATTTGGTTTTGAATATTAGTTGCGTCACAAATCACCATCATTACAGAGTGTTAAATTAAGTGTGTACGAGAGGTAATAAAACACATTTTTCTTCAATGTCATGCAAGGGCACTGAGAACAAAATACTGTCATTTTATGCATATGTATCATCGGTATTAAGCGACCAGTGTTGTTGGCATTAATAAAAGTAAAACAAGTATTATGACATTTGCAGAAGCAAAACACTAAAAAAAGAACCCAAAAACAGTGATCATTAGTTTGAAAACAGATTGACATTATTTTTATGAAACGTTTTCTCCCATCAAGGTGCTGCAATAAAGTTGCCTGAGATTTGTATATCAAATATCTCATTTGTAGAGCATAAAAATGTTATTAAGCTGTTCAAATGTGAGAAACCACATGAAATAAAAAGTATGCATGGATCTTAGTCTGTAATTATCACCATCATCGTAATCATCGCCGTCATCATCATCATCAGTTTCATGAGCAGTGGAAGCACATGCTCATAACAAACTCTATTAAACAAATGGGTATTTTGCGAAAAAGACGTATTCAGGTATCAGGTAAGGGTAAACTACGGAGTAAACATATACAAATAAGTCATTGACACTGCGCTAATGGGAAGTACGGACTTGGTGAGACGAAACCAACTTATCAACGTCAGGTTTCAGATTGGTCAGTAGCAGACGCTAATCACCACGCTCTGTGATCCTTAGTTTTTTCCTCTGCTTCGTCAGCAACCTTGTCACTGCACAAAATCCCCTTTCTACTAGACGGGAGGTGGGAAAAGCGATGAACAACAACTTGATATTTTCTCACAGGGACTCAGGGAGGGATATTTGTCTTGCACAGTAGTTTTCAACCAGAATGACAGGTACGACTTTTTGAACAATGGTTTGATTTCAAAGTCACTTTTCACTGTCAGCTCTTCTTCAATTGCCAATGTCAAGTCACCATCTGTTCCAGTATTGAGTGGGTCCAGTACCCAGTCTGGAATTTCCAGTTAAAAGATATCAGTAAACATTGTCTTCACAATCATATCAGCTTG